TGGCCCCCACAATCAGGCCACTTCCACCAGCTTCACCATTATAGAAGTGTGCTGACAAGCATTTCCACTACAACCCCACCACTGGGAACATGGCTTCAGCGGACAGGGTGTATTCGTCTTCCTCCCGGAGACAAGCCATACATAGACTTAAGCACAGACTAGCGGCCCGCGTACACACGTTAATGATGTCTGGCCCTATTTCTGGTGCAGGCTGCTGACGAAATGCTCTTGCTGTTAGACACCTTCACAAGGACATCTAATAACAGCCCTAAGAGAGAGAGAGTGTGTGTGAGAGGGAGAGATCCTGTGTGTGTGTATACTGTATGGATTTGCCTAAAGGCCTTGTTTGAGAATGTGTGTTTGTGTTCCACGCTGGCTTTCTTTGTGTGTGAACCTATTAGAGCTGTGCTGGACTGAGCTGGACGAGACTGAGAGGCATGCGGTCATGGCTGTCTGCTCCAGTGGCCAGACTTTTCCTCTCCGCTCACCAAGTGCTGATCACCGAGTAGAGGCCAAACCACTGGAGCACATTAACCACCCTGCAGCACTCGAAACAAATCATTTCAGTCCCCCACATTGTCAAAATACCACCTCTATCCTGCATGTACACTACAGTTTTTATGCTATATATTGTATATAGAATTTGTCTTATTATTTTATTCAATAATACATCATAGATGTGGATTTAACTGTTGAACTCAATACAATATAAAGATATTTTAAGAAGAATTGTTAATGTTTAAATAATATATGGTAATTTCTTCTCAAATTACTGTATCTGCCTCAGGATTTTATCACCCCTGTTTTTTAATATGAGGCATTCTTAGTGTTGATTTTATTTTAACTTCATTCTCAAAGTTTTAAAGCTTTCTCTGTTATTTTAGAATCATCATTGAAACCTGTGAAGTTAAGGAGAACTATTTATTAACACTTATTAATAATTTGATTGATGTATCTGTGACCAAATTGGTATTGAAAACAGTATAAAACCGAAGCACTGAAACATTTCAGCTGAAATTGGTCAAAAATGGCACGTTTGAAAGAGAAAAAAGGCAAAAAATGTATCAAACTTTATTCAGGGAGATAAAAAGCCCCGGTGTCGTTGTGCATCAGGGGTCCGGATGGTTATGAGCTGCCAGTGTGGATAAGTGAATGGGCTTTGTGCTAATTCACAGTCTGATCCCGTTCTACCACTCCTTTACTAATGCAGCTCTCAGAAGCATGTTACACACCCTGACCACTACAATTTAGCACTGATCCGCTGCACTCACACACACACACACACACACACACGCACACACACACACACACACACACACTCTTGCTTTCTCTTTGGTAGGATTTAGACCTCTTTATGTTTGTTTGTCTTTTTTTCATATTTATTGTAATTCGTTGGCTGTGGTCGGGTTTTTCTTGTCTTGATCATGTCTGAAAATTCTTTCATGAGTATAATCCTCCTTTACTTTACTTTCTTTCTATCTCTTTTTCTCTCTCACTCACTCATTCACACAAACACGAACTTACTCTTTTTTTTTTCTTTTGTAGTCCTAGTCACAGTCATTGTCTTGCATTACAAGGAGGAGAACTGGAGACGCCTTTTTCTTTAAAGTCTCTTTAGTGATATGGATTTAGACCTTCAGAGAGAAGAAAACACAGACAAATTGAAGGCAAGCACAAAAAAAGCTCTAACATCTCTGCAAAAAAGAAAAAAGTCTATAAATAAAAACTTGCAGTGTCTCTCACTTTTTTTCCAGAGCAAACAGGAAATTAATGTCATTGCATCGCCAAAGGCCAGTCTATTTAGGTTCTTGAGTACTCAATTATGTGTATTAATTATGTTGTTCAAAATTAAACCCATAATCCTATTTTCTGATGTAGACTTTCCGGGAAGTGAGTGGTAATGCATTTCTTAGGTCCACTTTTATTTGTCTACTCTGTCAAACGTCCACTGTAAACTTTTGCGGAGCACTTTTTAAACGGTTTGCTGTGTTTGATGCTTCAGCTTAACTGCAACATCAAATAAACATTGGTATCTAATAAGAGAGTTAAACACTGGTTTTAAAGAAGAGAACGTTCAACTTGGTGTTTAGATTTCTGAAATGTGAACTAAGTGAATGACCAATGCATTTAAAATGTGTTACAGAGAAGTGTTTAAAACCTAAAGATCTGCATTTACAGTGCAGGAAATCTATGCTTTTATGGAGCGCATTGCTGCACGCAGTGCTGTCGTGAATTTGGAGGTGTGAGGATGTATGAGGGCTTGAATCACGCTCACTTTTCTCACATCTCCACCTGTTCAGATTGTGGGTGCTGAAAAGAATGTGCCTGCGACACGCAGGATCAGTCAGCAGAGACCACCCTGTGTGAGCTACTGTCACACATCAACAAGCTGCAGATAAGGAGAGAGAGAAAAATAAGGAATTGGAGAGCGAGGGAGGAAGAGAGATGGGGAGAGAGAGAGAAATCGAAAGGAGTGAGCCAGGAAGAGAGAGAGAAAGTTAGATATAGAGGGAGCAAGAGAGGGAGACAGATCGCGAAATAGAGGGGGAGAAAAAGTGATAGAGACAGAACGAGTGAGTGAAAAGAGAGACAGAGTGAGACAGAAGAGAGGGAGCGAGAAAAAGGGAACGAGAGACAGAGCGAGCAAGCAAAGAGAATAAGAGGGGGAGAGAAAGATAGAGAGAGATGAGAGAGAGAAAAGGTGAAAAAGACAGCAAGTGGGCAAGAGAAAGGAAGAGATGGAGAGAGAGTGAAGGGGAGTGAGGGCAGAAAGAAGAAAGTAAAAGAGACAGGGAGCGAGCGAGAGAAAGAGATAGAGAGAAAAAGTGAAAGAGACGGAGCAAGCAAACAAAATATAAAGGGAGATATATAGAGGAAGAGAGATGGAGCGAGAGAGAGAAATCGAATGGGAGACTGAGTGAGCCAGGAAGAGAGAGAGAGAGATGGAGGGAGCAAGAGAGGAAGAGAAAAAAAAGAAAAAAGATAGCGAGCAAGAAAAGAGAATGAGATGAGAGAGAGAAAAAAGGTGAAAAAGACAGTGAGCAAGAGACAAAGAGAGATAGAGCAAGAGAAAAAGAGATGGAAAGAGAAAAAGGGAGGGGTGACAGAAAGAAGAAAGTGATAGAGACTGAGCAAGAGAGACAGAGAAAAAGTGAAAGATGGAGCAAGCAAACAAGAGATAAAGAGAGATATATAGAGGAAGAGAGAGAGAGAACGAGGGAGAGAACAAGCCTGAGCAAAAGATGGAGTGAGACAGAAAAAAGGGAGCTAGAGAGAGAGAGGTATTGAGGGAGAGAGAGATGGTGAATGCTGTAATGTGTGTTTGTAAGTAGAACAGATATGGACTATGAGGTTCATCTTTATTGCATTGTGTTGTGTTTCGGGGGAAATGTCCATCATTACAGCAAAGTGTGGAGCCGTAAATCCTCTCTCTCTATCTCTCTCTCCCCCTGTCTTCTGTTTTTTTTTTCCCTCTCACCAGCCAGAGGAAATAAATGTAACATGAGAACGAGTTTGCTTGTTTTCTCTGCGGCCTGAAATTACATTCTCCACAATTCCCTGCCACTGTGGAGTGCCACTCACATTGACACCCTGAAGAGGGGAACCAACCCACAGCTAGATTCAGCCACTGCACAGAGGATTGCCATGTTGTGATATCACAGTTAAGAGGAGCTTTTACCTGCAGACACACACACAGACACAGTCCCATTGCTAGGCACATTAAGGCTTACACCCAAGCAAACAATCATGTCAATTAGTGATGGCTCATAAAGTATGCATAAGCTGCATCCAGCAACATTAGCACAGCTTAAGAGCAGGAAAAAAAGTCCTTCCCCTCTAATGAGTGTCTTAACAGGCCTAGTGTCACACCTTTTTTCAGAAGAACACCACATGAAGAAGAGTGCATTCTGGCAGATGCTAAACTGCAAACCAGCACCAACAACAACAGCAGCATCCTATCTGCACTGATTCCCCGCTCTGTTTCAGCCTTGCCTTTCTGATTGCATTTTATCCTCCCCGTGATGCCTCAAGCTGAGGGGAAAAAAACAGTTCTGAATATTCCCTCTATCAATCATGGCAAATGCTGGTGCTATTTTTACCCCTTTGCACTAACTCGATAAAGCATAAAAGATCCACGTACATTGAAGCAGCTCTGTTTTAGAGCTTTAATGGGGAGATCCAAGCATGAATAGAGACTGAAAAAATTTTGTCCAAGTCTGACCTGACCCACCCCACGGCACTAAGTTTTGAATCAATATGTGAATGAGCCACAAAATTCTGTCTGAATGCAATCACTCTCAACGGGGTCTCCACATTTCTAATGACTGTGCATGTTAAGTTACCTTGAACTCTAGGCTTATTATTCAGTTATGAATCTTAAAACTTATTATTCAGTAATCCCTATGAATTATTCAGAAACTTCCATGAAACTAATATGGAAGGTATGTAGTCATAAGAGTGAGGATCTAAAGTGTGGACCTGGAGACAGGATTTAAAGGGTTGAGTTTTCTTGTAGCAAACAAAGACAGCCAAAATCAGATCATTGATAAACAAAACCATAATTAATAGAATTTAATATTAACCACCCAAAATGAAGTTCAGAATCAACTTAACTAATGCAATGTTAAATACAGGCCAAAGGTGAATTGTGCGAAACCTAGGCATTAATGTAAAGTTAACCTGATCCCAACAAATGCTGGACATGTCAGAACACGAACAAACCTCAGCATTAGGATGACCCTCTTTTTTCACAACATATCCTCTTTTTAGATCTAAAAATGCATCCAACCAAGATTTCTAATTTGCCTAAAATGTCCAGGATTGAGCTTCGCTTTCATGTTGACATTTGCTTTATGCAGTCTGCCCTGTCCCACCTTCCTGCCCCCAGTGTCCTTCGTTTTGAAAACCAAAATATGGTCACCCACCCAACACAAATAGTTGGGTTCCATAGAGTTTGGACAAATATTTCAAGCTGTACTGTTGCTGTGATTTTTACGCAGGAGCTCCGAACCACCACAGCCAGTCGACGCTGCAGCCACCGCTGCCTCCGCCCCACAATGCCCATACACTGTCACACCACCAGTCCTCGGCCAACTCTCTCAACCGCAACACCCTGAGCGGCCGCCGCAACCCCATCCATGCTCCGCCGGCCGCACCGGGAGACGGCCCCACCACACCTGAGTCAGTGCAGCTGCAGGACAGCTGGGTGCTCAACAGCAACGTGCCTCTGGAGACCAGGTCAGAGTCCAACCTTTACACACACACACATATGGTAGTAGCCTACAGCACTGTGTCTCAACTGTTGTCCTGGAGTACCTCTGTTCTGCACATCTTATTGTTTTCTCTGTCCTAACATGCCCACTTCAACCCAGGAATAGAGGTGGGTAATTCATGTCCAGTAAAAGTAATAATCCTCCCCAGGATTTTGTTCTGACTGCTTGGCTACGCTGGTCTGCTCAAACCTGCAGCAGAGGTTTCTGGAGGATTTTTATTTTCTGGACCTGAATTACCCACCTCTGCTCAGGAACAACTTGATCAGCATTGGAATATGCAGGACAGGAGTACTTCAAAACCAGTGTCGGGAACCACTTTCACTCCTACATTGTTTGGTGTGGACCAATCAAACTTTTTTTTTAGTGCGGTCAGTGTTGATGTGTGAATACTCCGACCGTACACTCTACAACGGCACCATAGTACGCCAAAAACCACAGGTCTTGGCCCTCTTGCTGATGAGAAGCAATTTTTATGATTGTCTGCACCAAACAAGAAAATTCAACACCAGAGCACTCAGTGCATGTCAGCGCTATACTGTCTGCACAATCTGCCTGTTTTAGCATTTGACTCTTGACAGAGGCTCATATCGTCGTAATAGTCACATTGTTGTAACAGTATGGTTACTGTCCAACATTAGGGAAGTATTTGATTTTGCATTAGATTGCAGAAGTTATTTTTTATAGGTTGGGTCAGACATGGCAACCTGATTGTTTGAATTCAAACCAACATGTAATTAAACCAATTGATCATAGTACTAGAGCTCAAGTTTATTAGGGTTCAAGCACACTGTGCATATGACCCTATTGTAATTGTCAGTGTTTTTCTTCTTATTATTAGTATTATTCTTCCAATTCTTTGCTAAAATGAATCGCCCAAACCAAACCATAAGTCCTTGAAACATGAAACTTGGTCAATAGGTAGTTGTCCCTCCCACTACTCAGTCACATGATGTGAGCTCTAATGACCGCAAGCGTAACGTGTTTGGCCTTGTATCTCCTGAACCAGAATTTTAGAGACAAAATTCCTTTTTTTCCTGATTCCTTGGATCAAAACAAACTAATTTGCAGTTTGGATAATTTAGCTCCGCCTGCTTAGATTTTTTGCGTATTTGCATAATATGCAAAACCTATTTTTTGTGAACTAGTCCTAGGGTTTTCACTTAATCCTCATGTAATCCTCATGTATTAAAAAAAATTCAAAAGACTATGAAGCTCAGTAATTATCAAAAACATATGGACTTTTATTAGCAGTAGACTACAGCTATAGTCCATAGCAATAGACTCTTATTAGTAACGTGCAATTACATGTTATGACAGAAATTATACTGCTTTTCTGGTATTTTGACTTCATTCATTCACAGACTACAGCTTATTATACAATGGGTAAAGGTCAATTTGAACAAAACTCAGTGAACATCTTTGTTTAAGGCCCCTGATCAAGGCCCCTGATCAGTAATGATAAGATTTTATATTAGTGAAAGCTAAAATAAAAATAGATCTCACAAACCAGATTTATGACTTTCAGCAGAAAGTCTGATAGCTTTTTTTCACTTAGTGTATTGAAGAGCTACCTACTTTGACAGGAAAAGGCCATTCAACTGATATGCAAAGTGATCAATCACAGCACATTTTGCACTTTGTACAGGTGCAGGCTATTTTTAAATGGTGCTACAAGAAAAACACACCTGCTAAACACAGTATCTGCTGTATCTCATTAATGATTTAAATAAAACTAACTTTTTCAGGTGTGATGGCATGCATTGGAGTACATACCCACTGATGTGCAGATAGCTAATCAGAATGCATCCAACAAAATCCCAGTAGTTGTGGCCAGCTTTTTGTACAGTAAACATCAGACACACTGTGTATGTGTACGTTCATGAAATGCTGTTATCTAGTACATAGTGAATGTACTGTGGTCAGAAAGATGTGTACTGGTGGCAATTTGTGGTAATCACTGGTGAGTGTGTGATGATTTAGGCTAATTTGTAGAATATTACAGTAGGCTCATAGCTCCTGTACAAAACTACAGAAGCAAACGTTGCGTGGCAGAGATGTCTTGACTGATCAGCTACGTTTAGTGTAAGGGGAAAATTGTGTAAATTTGATTTTCACCACACTATCACTTTAAAGCAGTTTGAGTTGATTTTTTGGCTTCTAGGACTGTAAAATGCCCACAGGCCTCAAAGGCGAGCATCAGCTTTCAATTTATGTGGAAAATATCAGACCAGTCAAAATGAGTAATGGCTTTCTCTGGCTATAACGACGACGATATTTGCAGGATTATACTTTATGAATGTCCTAATACTGTCAGATGCTTCTACCCAGAGAAGCAGATTAATGACAGTTATGAAAACACTGCATGACAAAAGTGGTCGTTCAAAAACAATACATACTCGACCCCGATCTGATATAACTGTCATCTTACCGATGTTTATGCTTGGTTGTCTTAAGATTTCTGACACAAATATTTCTTTTTGACTGAGTCCTATGTTTTGCATATTATTTATACATTGGGTGAGTGAAGAGTTCAAGGTTGCACACTCACAGCTGCATGTTCTTCTGCCATACACATACACAAGCTCCAGTTTGCAGTCTGTGTGCACAGTTTGGATTGTATAAATAAACTACATATTTTACATAAACTACACACATGCAGAACACATACACACACACAAAGTGCACTGATGCATGTCCTGCTCTCTCAATCTGTCTCTCTTTCTCTCTAATCCTTTTCTCTCTCCCTCTCTCTACTGCACTTGTTCTCTTTCTCACTTGTTTTCTCTCTTGCTTTCTTTACCTTTTTCTCTATATATCTCCCTTTCTTTCTCTCTTTCTCCTTTTTTCTCTTTTTCTCTGTCTCTCCGTCTCTGTCTACCCTCTCTTGGCCATCCCCTCTCTCTCATCCTTCTATTTTCTCTCTTTCCTTTTCTGTCTCTCTTTTTCTCTATCTCTCCCTCTCTCTTCCCTTCTCTCTCTATCCTCTTTCCCTCCCTTCTTTTTTCTCTCTTTCTTACTATTCTCTCTCTCTCTCTCTCTCGCTCTCTCTCTCTCTCTCTGTCTCTCTTTCTCACCTTTGTTATGGTTCTCTTGCTGGGGAGAGGGTCACCTCCTCTGGTTGTGGATCAGAGAGGTGCACGCGTGCCGCATGCAGTATTCATGAGGCAGGGACGGCATGTTTAATTCAGCAGGACAGGTCTCAGGCCTGTAGAAGCTGCAGGTGCCTGACTGGCGGCTAATTAAAGCAGGCCTGATAGGCTGTACTGTATGTCACCAGTGCCAGCCACAGCTCAGACATGAATACAGTGGGACTGCCTGGCTCTCTGTGTACGGCGGTGGATATTGGCAGGCCTGTGAGCAGCGTAGGGGCGCTCGCAGTAGTGTGTGTGCAGACACACACACAGTTACACACTGCTTGCAAGTATCCTCTGCTGGATCTGCTCTCTAGCCTTAACTATCCGTTCAGTTTGAGTGACACTTGCTTTAACCCCGTCGTTATTTGCAGCGGTATAGCCAAAGTTGTCATTGTGCATGAGTCGGAGTCCTTCCCCTTATAACAACCTAGCCTGTGGATGGTGTCATAGGAATAAAATACCTTTGGGCTTAATATCCAGAGAGAGTTTCAAATATAGAGTAAGAATAATCTACTAATATCTCAAATTATTACCATAACTTCATAACACTGCCTAGTAAGATACACTGACTGGCCACTTCATTAAGTACATCTGCTTGTATCTACACTTATTGTCCGTTTTATGCACTTAATCTGTTTCTACATACTTTGTTAGACTGTTTCACCCTGTTCTTTAATGATCAGGACCCCCTACAGGACCACCACAGAGCAGGTATTATTTGGGTGGTGGATCATTCTCAGCACTGGAGTGACACTGACGTGGTGGTTTTGGGTTAGTGTGTGGTGCGCTGTTGCGAGCAGATCAGAGTGCTGCTGGGGTTTTTAACCCCATTAAATCTCAGGCTTATAACATACTAAGCCTTATTATTCAGTAACTACAGGGACTTAAGTGCAAAGTGCAATCGGCTGAGCTACTGGCTGTTTTTAGGTTAATGAAGTGTATAACAAAACTTTGGGCCTGCCGGTGAGCCCTGGCTATTTAAGGGGTTAAACACCTCAGTGTCACTGCTGGACTGAGAATAGTCCACCAACTAAAAATATCCAGCCAGCAGCATCCTGTGGGCAGCGTCCTGTGACTGCTGATGACTGTGGAGTAACAGATGAGCTATTGTCTCTGATTTTACATGTGCAAGATGAGCCATCAAAGTACAATTGTCTCATAGAGTGGACAGTAAGTGGACACAGTACTTAAATTCCAGCAGCACTGCTGTTTCTGATCCACTTGTACCAGCACAACACACAATAACACACCACCACCACATGCTAATAATGATCCACCACCCAAATAATACTTGCTCTGACCATTGAAGAATGGGTGAAAGAAGGCTAAAAAAGTATGCAGAGAAACAGATGGACTACAGTCTAGAATTGTGGAATTAAAAATCATATATATCTTTATCATCTCTATCATGTGAAAATATTGCAGCTATATGAGTTTTTCCTATGACACAGATGAAACGCTTGTTGGTTAGTGCTATAAGATGCACTCTGGATGGTATTTTGAAGATAAGATGAGAAACCTGATGTAATGTGTGGAACAATTAATTCCTACTTTGAGTGTGCAAGAACAAGTTATTTTGTGGTCTGCCTACCCTCCAAAAAACAAAACTTTAAATTTGCTAGAACAACCCAGCGATAGAGAGTTAGATGGAGAACAAGTAGCGGTACCGTTCAGTGTTGATGTTTTCGGGAATCTTGGCAGGCTTTGTGTTGCAACTGGGGATTAAAACTCAGTTTAACTTATAAAGTAATCAATAATGCTGCCCTGGATTACATGCTTCATTGTCTAGGAGACGTGAGAGCCGTTCCAGAGCACAATGCAAAAGCCTATG